GCATGATATTTTTTAGTTTGGGGATCCCTTAAAATGGTTCAACATTACTGGCTTTCAAAATTTTGTTTTTCCACCCCCTTTTGTAAAAAACCAAATCGTGAATTATTTTCTTTTTAACCTCACCTTTGTTTACGTGGTGTTCAGTCTCAAGTTCTTCACACTCCCATTTTCCTCAGAAAAAGTTTCATGTTCTGAAGAAAACCTCAAATACGTGAGACATCTATATATTGGTCAAGTTAGCATGTCCTCGTACATGATGGACCAGTGATGATCAAGTAGAGGTGTGTTCGGTTTTGAAATCTTTCTGGTTTAAATCACATTTAGGCATTAAAAGTCGCATGGTTGATGCCTAGCAAGAATTGTTCCTAGTACTGGCCGTGTTTTTACTCTTTTAAATCCGTGAACTCGCTGTTTACTTTGTTTGCAGTCACCATATTTCTTTGCCAGTTCACGTACGTTCTCACTTTGAGTTGGAAGACGCGAGTGAGTGGTCCACCCTCGTTGCTCTTTCTTATTTGAGTTAGCCTTAGTTTGTTTTCTCCAGTTCGTCACTTCGGTAACAAGATCTCCATACAGTACATTTACGCTAATAAATGTGTATACCTTATACCAGGTGTAGACCTACCTGGAGACCGAGACAGGTCTACCTACCTACCTTGTGTTTAAAGTGCATCTGCACGTTTTCAGGGATGTTGGCTACTACAGTAAGGCAGTGGTGTGAGATCACTTATTGTGTGTGTGTTCAGGAGGGCAAAGTGGTCGCTGATCAATTCATGTACAATAATAGACCCCACAAACAACAGTGGTAATGAGTCTATCCTATGACATAATAAAGTCTACCTGCCTTAAGGTGAGTGATATTATCTGGGGCGAGACTGTAGACTGACATGTTCTCTTCAAGGTATCGAACACACTTCCATTGGTGTTCGGGTGTGCGCTGAGGAATGAGGAGGAAGGAAGGTAATAATATTTGATCTAAGGAAGGAGAGAGTAGCTCCAAATCCTTGATCAAGAACTTATCAGCATCATGACACCCCCGTCCCTTGAAGAGTCTCTTCTCCATTCAGTCTCCATCCTTCCCCCCTCATCCCCTCCCCCTCCCCCTCTCCTTACTCTCATTCTCTCCTCCTTTTCCTGTGTGTGTGTGTGTGTGTGTGTGTGTGTGTGTGTGTGTGTGTGTGTGTGTGTGTGTGTGTGTGTGTGTGTGTGTGTGTGTGTGTGTGTGTGTGTTTGAGATCTTGGCTTAGCGCGTTGATGCGATCTAAAGTCCCAGACGACTTCCTGTGTGGAGTGTGTAGTGGCGTCCGGTAGACAGCTACCTGAGGCTGTTACCTGTGACTGATGATGTGTAGTGGCGGCCGGGGAGGTGAGGATGACTCCACCTGGACACCGTTGTTCTGCTGCAGCCCCTGGTTATTGAACCACGTGATGCTGATGATGCTTTGGAGACAGACACCAACTGCAGAACAAGTTTCATCGAGACTTTTTACTCTGCTGTAAAACCTTTATCAAGTGACGACTTGATAAAGCTCTAGTGAAATGTTCCTCATCTTGTGTATCTAACTTCATGCTTGTCACCAAGCCATTTCATCCACATATTTGTTGTTGCATGCGTGTACTAGAGAATTGTTTCCCCCAGGATCGAACTGTAACGCTTGTACTGCTCAGTTTTATACCTTTAGTTCTCTCTACTGTTTTTAATTCCTACAATTACTATAAGATACACAATCATTTACTACCATGCTACTGATTTTTTTCCTGTAATCCTTTCGTAATGTGAGAAAGCTCTCGCGTTCAATAATATAAGACCCACTTCCATGCATGTAGCATAAAGGTCTTCCAATAATTCATTTTCTACATAGCATGGAGACGAATCAATATATCATCAGCAAACCTCTTCTGAAGCACACCAAAACAGGATGCAAGACAGTGAGGGTTGTGGAGTTTTATTGTGAAGACGTTTCGCCCACCAGGGACTATCGGTTTAATGTGAAGTGAAAAAGTCCACGAGGGACTTTTTCATTTCTTATTTACATACTGTCATCATAGTATTGTACTACCCCATAGGATAGTTGATTTTTGCGAGTATTCCTCAAAACATTCGACAAAGTTGAGTATAACCTCTTAAATGCGCCTCTGTTTCTTCTGTGTATCCTTGAATATTTCCCCTGAAACAGGACTTAATTCTTCTGTTCGTCAAGTGTTACTGTGCTCTGGGATGTTTGGTCGACTACACGAGGGTCATTAAGGACGCATGTAACTTTTACATCACTAACCAAGAATATTTTACTGTCTGGAGTAGGGATTAATTAAAGTGAACTCTGTCAATCCTCTCATTGTGTGTGTGTGTGTTTTGTATTTGTTTGTTGCTTTTGTGTGTGTTTTGGCTTTTACTTTTGTACAACCCTATGAAATCAATAAAGGTAGCGTACACCCCCTTAATAATTGCATGAATAATCCTGTCTGTAATACAGATTGAAGTTATAGGAGACTTTATGTATTTGTTTTCTCGCCTGCACGACAAGCTTTTCCACGTCGATAAAAAAAAAAAAATCCTGGGGAAAGATTGTGATCAGGTGGAAGGAGAGGCCAGATATGACTGGCTTCACTACACTTCACAATACAGGTATTCAGCAACTATATTGCTAAGGGTTCTGCCACCTGGAAACCTCCCAGGTTTAGCTCTATAGTGTTGAAAGTTGTAGTCACAATGAAAACGTAATATTAATAAATTAACAATCAACAAATTAGACATGAACAGATGAGAGAAGATAATCAAGACTAGTCTGTGGCTGGCAGTTAGTGTATTGTTTGTTATAGTATAGTTTGAGGTATGGCTATACGATTGTGTTTCTCAGGTGCTGCATGGTACCTACGGGTTTAGTGCATTAAATGACTTTAATGACACCAGATGGTGTTTCCAACTGACAACACACACTACAGGTTATGGTAGTGACAACACAATACCAGTGGTGGTACTGACAACACACAATACCGGTGGTGGTACTGACAACACACAATACCGGTGGTGGTACTGACACACAATACCGGTGGTGGTACTGACAACACACAATACCGGTGGTGGTACTGACAACACACAATACCGGTGGTGGTACTAACACAATACCGGTGGTGGTACTGACAACACACAATACCGGTGGTGGTAATGACAACACACAATACCGGTGGTGGTACTGACAACACACAATACCGGTGGTGGTACTGACAACACACAATACCGGTGGTGGTACTGACAACACACAATACCGGTGGTGGTACTGACAACACACAATACCAGTGGTGGTACTGACAACACACAATACCAGTGGTTGTACTGACAACACAATACCAGTGGTGGTACTGACAACACACAATATCAGAGGTGGTACTGACAACACACAATACCAGTGGTGGTATTGACACAATACCAGTGGTGGTACTGACAACACAATACCATTGGTGGTACTGACAACACACAATACCGGTGGTGGTACTGACAACACACAATACCGGTGGTGGTACTGACAACACACAATACCAGTGGTGGTACTGACAACACACAATACCAGTGGTGGTACTGACACACAATACCAGTGGTGGTACTGACAACACACAATACCTGTGGTGGTACTGACAACACACAATACCGGTGGTGGTACTGACAACACACAATACCGGTGGTGGTACTGACAACACAATACCAGTGGTGGTACTGACAACACAATACCAGTGGTGGTACTGACAACACAATACCAGTGGTGGTACTGACAACACACAATACCGGTGGTGGTACTGACACAATACCAGTGGTGGTACTGACAACACACAATACCAGTGGTGGTACTGACAACACATAATACCAGTGGTGGTACTGACACAATACCAGTGGTGGTACTGACAACACACAATACCAGTGGTGGTACTGACAACACACAATACCAGTGGTGGTACTGACAACACACAATACCAGTGGTGGTACTGACAACACACAATACCAGTGGTGGTACTGACACAATACCAGTGGTGGTACTGACAATACCGGTGGTGGTACTGACAACACACAGTACCGGTGGTGGTACTGACAACACACAGTACCGGTGGTGGTACTGACAACACACAATACCGGTGGTGGTACTGACAACACACAATACCGGTGGTGGTACTGACACAATACCGGTGTAGTACTGACAACACACAATACCGGTGGTGGTACTGACAACATTGGTCGCTCGTCTAAAGTCTGGGATTTGCAGTAATCTAAAGTTAGCTTTAATGGTAGTCAAGGAAGGCAAGGTTACCTGGCTTCAGTAACTTTCCTCAGAAACGTGCACACAATTATCTAGCTAGTTAGAAATACAAAAACATCTCGGTTCTTCCTGTGCCATTATCACATTACTTTTTATTTACTCTCTGACTTGGTGGACAAAACGCTATAAAATGATTTATTCCAATTTGTAGAATTGTTGCAAATTGATTCAACCTGGTTAGCGTTTTATTATTTTTTTTGTACATAATGACTCGTATGGGTCATTATGTACAACAATGAGTGGTAGAAGCTCAATTCTTGATCTGTAAAGAATGGACCAGTAGGGCTACTGCACTGCTCCTCTATCCCTAACATAAATTATAGATATACTATCTAGATGTACTACTGTTAGGCCCTTTTAGGGCCTAGTTCCTAGGTCCATAGGATGGCTATGTGGTGCACAATAAATTAGCCACTACTGTCCACAGGATGGATATAGGGTGCAAAACTAGCCACTACTGTCCACAGGATGGATATAGGGTGCACAAACTAGCCACTACTGTCCACAGGATGGATATAGGGTGCACAAACTAGCCACTACTGTCCACAGGATGGATATGGGGTGCACAAACTAGCCACTACTGTCCACAGGATGGATATAGGGTGCACAAACTAGCCACTACTGTCCACAGGATGGATAAAGGGTGCACAAACTAGCTGCTTCAGCAGTAAACTATAATCTACTCTGCCTTACAGGGGCGTCTGTGTGTGAAGTGAATGCCACATCAAAGACTGACCCAGATGTCAGTGGGGTCAGCATCAGCAAGGGCGATACTTTCCTGATATGTCCTGGGACACATGATCCAGCCAACCACACAGCTTGCTGCTACACTGCTGAAGGAGACACTGACGACCTCCAGGAAGATGTACAGGATTACCCTAGGTGTTGTGTCCCGACTTCACCACCTGTAGGAATCTTCTACATTGATGATCAGTAAGTGAGGGATTAAGTAAGTTTATTTAGGTACAGGCTCATATAAGTGAAATTATCATAGTGTAAATTATCTAAGATAACCCCAAAGAAAAGGTAGTGACTTATTTCCAGTTGGGGGGGGGGAGGGTTGGCTCACGAAATCGTAATAATAATAATAATAATAATAGATTTATTTTGACATGATACATGGTTGTACAAAGAAATATAATAAATGGATGTACATGCCAAAAGCTCCTTTGTATGAAGAGCATTTTGGGTAAACTTAAAATTAACTTTAGATTAATAAGGTAATAACAGTTACAGTGAGTACAAGAAAAATAAGTATAATATATTAGGTAATGCTTTGTGGCTTTAAAAAGTCTAGTAGAGAATAATTACACTATTGAATTAGTTTACAAAAATTACAATATTGCAATAGAACAATTTAAAACAATTTACAATATGATGTATTACAATTTAGTACTATTTAAACCAATGAAATATAAACATCCTAATTTTGAAGTAATGAGTCAATTGTTGAACAATCCTCAGTACAGTGAAGTAATGAAATTGAAACTATATAAGTTGAGCAATCTTTAATTATTTAGAAGTTTTTGTTTTGAGTAGCCTTTTGAGTAACTGGTAGGTATTAAGTACTGTTTGTCAGGTTAATTTTGGGTGATGAGATGATTTCTAAGTAGGGCCTTCAGCTGATTTTCAGACGGGCCCTTTAATGTGTTCTGGCGATGAATTCCTGATCTGCGGGCCATTTACCTTCATAGCATTTTTATATAGGGAGAGATGGACATGAGGGATATTGAAAAGTGATTTGTGTTTCTTATTATGGTTGTGTGTTCTGTTATAGTTATCAAGGAGAAGTTTGAGAGGAGGGTTTATATTTTGAGTGTAGTGGTTCTGTGTGTGTAGTAAGCACAATAATAAGTGTGGATGTTTTGTATATTAAGCAAGTTAAGACTTGAAAAGAGATTATGTTGTCTAGTGCAGGAGTTAGTAATCAGTTGCACTGTAGCCTTTTGTTGGGTTATTAAAGGTTTAAGGTGATTTGCTGTTGTTGAGCCCCATGCATAAATACCATAGGTGAGGTAAGGGTAAATGAGAGAGTGGTACAAAGTTAGAAGAGCTGATTGGGGTACATAGTACCATATCTTTGAAAGGATGCTTACTGTTTTGGAGACTTTCTTGGAAATTTGCTGTATGTGTGTCTGAAATCTGAGACTGCAGTCAAGGTGGAGACCTAGAAATTTGCAAACAAATCATGGAACGAATGGGCTTGAACTCGAGGCAAGTGAATTTTAGGACTCGTTTGCTGGGAGGGTTCATCCCCCCCACCCATTCAGTGATTGAGGGATGTCTTGCATGGAAGGAGGTTTCATAATTTTATACAAAAGCAGCATTGTAGTAATTACGTTATTTTACACTGAAAATGCTTTGCAGTTTTCCATGGTTTATGCTTTCTCTACTGCCTTGTATGTCTATTCCTCTCCTTTTGTATCTCTTCACATTCACTCTGCTTCTTGTCCTTTCTCTTCTTACCCATTCTCATTTTCCCCCTACTTCACCAGACCCCCAATTAAATTCTAAATTCATCCCCCCCTCCCACTGAACATATTACTTCTTTAAGAAATAACCCCTCTTCCTAGGATACGGTGGGGACTACAAGAAAGTATTTGATGCAGTACTACATTAGAGATTAGTTCAGGAATAAGAAGAACAAGCAGGGCTAAAAGGCAGAGTTGTCCCTGATCCACTTCAGCCTGATCCACTTTAGTGGATCCACTTCAGTGGTTCAGGGTGTACCTATACAATACAATACAATACATACTTTATTTGTACATGATACATAGTTGTACAAGGAATTATAGTAGTTGGGTGTACATGCCAAAAGCCTCTTGTATGCAGAGCATTATGGGCAGGCTTAAAATTAACTTAAAATTAACTAAGTAATAATAGATTCAGTAGTAAAAATTACCGTAAACAATTTACAATATGAAGTACAATTGAGTATTTGAAACAATGAAGTTTGAAAAATTTTGATTTTGAAGCATTTAGTTATAAATTTATCGCATTACAATGTATAACATAACAAGATGATCAATTTGCTATTAGTTGTCTTGAGGTTTTAAGATTTAAGTCAATGGGAGATTTATTGGTAAAGTTAAATATTGATTATGATAGATGAGGGAGTAACTGAAAGGGATGAGACAATCAGAATGAGTAACCAATGGGCTCCTGTTTGGATCAGTAATACAAAAATGTACAATTTTATTTCAACATGATACATTGTTTATACAGAAATTGGTGACACGAATGCGTGTTGAAAGCCTCTTATTTTGCAGAACATTACTGTTCTTAATATGTTAGTATGTACCACAAAAGATTGAGTCTTTCATATCACTGTTAGTTGATGTAAAATGAGGAGGGGAATAAAAACAAAAGATAAGCTTTAGGGAGATCTCAACAGGCTGTAGATATTATTCAACAAGTTGATTCTGGAGTTAAATCCAAACAAATTCTAGGTCATGAGAATTAGAGGTGAGGGCAGACTGAATAGAGTACAACATGGATGGAGAGAAGCTGCAGATTTCAGTAAAGGACAAATCTCTGGGTGTTAAAGTTAAAGCAGTCTTAACCCCAAAATTACACATAAACCACTTAATGTCAGCAACTCAAACAAGATTAGTAAATCTCGGAGCAACTTTCAGGAACTTGGATGACAGGAAGGTATGTGAGGAAACTGTAGAAGGTTCAACGAACTCTAATTGAAGAATCAAGGGGGGGATGGGGGAAATTCCCAGAGTGGGGAAAAAAAGACATGAGCAATAAAAGTGAAGAAATTTCAGCAAAAGCAATAAAATCAGACATGTTAAGAGCATAGGCAGAGGAACCGTGTGTCCTGTTAGCAAAGTTATACAAAAAAAAATGTAGCTAGAGAGCACCTGGCAGACATATCATACTGCTGATACTATAAAAGATTTGTCTCAGACTAACATACTGGCTAAGGTGTTAAAAAATAAGATAAGAGTTGAGCACTTTGAAAGCAAGCTGTACAGGGTTTAGCAAGACACAGAGGTCTGGTTGTCCTCTATAGGAATCAAGAGATTCTCTATAGAGTGAGCATAAGGCACTTCTAGCTACTGGGTTAAGCGCTTGTACTATCTCTACCACTCATAGCCTTCCTCTCATCAGTCTGTACTTCCTCTTATCCCTACTTCCCCTCTTACCCCACAAGGGTCTTACCTAAACACTCTTGTCTTGTCATGAGGCACACCCTATAATACCTATTTATAAAGAATTCTGTTTCTCTCTTTGGCTTGTGGTGCAGTATAACTAGTATCTTAGGACCCACACTGACATTACAAATTTAAGCATGGGTTTTAGGCTCACCGAGATGTCTGCCTGTAAACCTTGTATCACTGTAGGAGGAAGTTATAGTGTGCTTGACTTTGACATTTTTATTTATTTATTTTTTTTTATTATCACACTGGCCGATTCCCACCAAGGCAGGGTGGCCCGAAAAAGAAAAACTTTCACCATCATTCACTCCATCACTGTCTTGCCAGAAGGGTGCTTTACACTACAGTTTTTAAACTGCAACATTAACACCCCTCCTTCAGAGTGCAGGCACTGTACTTCCCATCTCCAGGACTCAAGTCCGGCCTGCCGGTTTCCCTGAACCCCTTCATAAATGTTACTTTGCTCACACTCCAACAGCACGTCAAGTATTAAAAACCATTTGTCTCCATTCACTCCTATCAAACACGCTCACGCATGCCTGCTGGAAGTCCAAGCCCCTCGCACACAAAACCTCCTTTACCCCCTCCCTCCAACCTTTCCTAGGCCGACCCCTACCCCGCCTTCCTTCTACTACAGACTGATACACTCTTGAAGTCATTCTGTTTCGCACCATTCTCTTTTAATGGATAGCATTTCATTAGTAGTGGTATTTTAATTGTGATTTTTCAGTGATTAGTGGTTTTGACCTGTCAATATTTTATTTACTTTATTTATTTATTTTTTTTTTAATTTTATGTAATGCAGTTTTAATAAGTATGGTTTGTAAGTTCTAAATGAATTACATGTATTTTTAAACACGTTAAAATACTGAATGATCTTTTTGCCCTAAGTGCTCTGTGAATTCCGTGACTACACACAATAACATTTACAAGAACTGTGCTTTTATTGTTTTCAATGAGAAATACACACATGTACCATGGAAACTTGACTTACCATGCTTTGCCTACACACTAGATTATATCAAGTTATAAACTTAACTTAAAGCCCCTGTTTTAAATTTAAATTAATTTCTTTTATGCAGTACACAGATACGTGTTTACATATAATAAAATATAATTAAGCACAAAAAGACACTATTATGCAATGCAATTCAGGCATACATCTTCATTTCAGCTGCATTTGTCTGTTTCTTATGTTGGTACTTTGTATTAGCTACCAAGTTTTATTGCTTTTGTGAAAATAATATACAGTACATATTTCCTAAATGACCAAAACCTCAACAACCCCTCTTCTGCCCTCTGACTAATACTTTTATTAACTCCACACCTTCTCCTAATTTCCACACTCCGAATTTTCTGCATAATATTTACACCACACATTGCCCTTAAACAGGACATCTCCACTGCCTCCAACCGTCTCCTCGCTGCTGCATTTACCACCCAAGCTTCACACCCATATAAGAGTGTTGGTACTACTATACTTTCATACATTCCCTTCTTTGCCTCCATAGATAACGTTTTTTGACTCCACATATACCTCAACGCACCACTCACCTTTTTTCCCTCATCAATTCTATGATTAACCTCATCCTTCATTCCTTTTGGTCATTTAGAGAGAATGGATCAAAGTAGAATGACATGGAAAGCATATAAATCTATAGGGGAAGGAAGGCGGGGTAGGGGTCGTCCTTGAAAGGGTTGGAGAGGGGGGTAAAGGAGGTTTTGTGGGTAAGGGGCTTGGACTTCCAGCAAGCGTGCGTGAGCGTGTTAGATAGGAGTGAATGGAGACGAATGGTACTTGGGACCTGACGATCTGTTGGAGTGTGAGCAGGGTAATATTTAGTGAAGGGATTCAGGGAAACCGGTTATTTTCATATAGTCGGACTTGAGTCCTGGAAATGGGAAGTACAATGCCTGCACTTTAAAGGAGGGGTTTGGGATATTGGCAGTTTTGGAGGGATATGTTGTGTATCTTTATATGTGTATGCTTCTAGACTGTTGTATTCTGAGCACCTCTGCAAAAACAGTGATAATGTGCGAGTGTGGTGAAAGTGTTGAATGATGATGAAAGTATTTTCTTTTTGGGGATTTTCTTTCTTTTTTGGGTCACCCTGCCTCGGTGGGAGACGGCCGACTTGTTGAAAAAAAAAAAAAAAAAAAAAAAAAAAAAAACATATTTCCTATTTTTAATTGTAAAATAACAGGAACTCAGACCATTTCACCTGGACAAATTTTCCATCTCACAGGTTAGCTATGATCATTGCTCTGAGTGTGACAGCAGTATGCGTCATTTTAACCATCATCATCATTGTATGTTGCTTCTGGTCAAGATGTCCACTTTACTCGGCCTGCAGGATACGCTACCACCAAGATGATATTATTGCCTATGGTGAGTATCTTCATGCATGCATGATTTATACCTTTCATATCTAGGACTTGCATTAGTACTGGTTAAGGTATAATAATCCCAGTAAAATGTGGAATGAGGACATGTATACTGTACACATTTAGGACTTGTATTAACCCGTAAATGGTCCAAACGTATATATACGTTTTTTCAACATTTGAAAGTATGTAAAAAAAGTAGATCTTTTTTTTTTTTTTTTTTTACATTTGAAAATTTGTAAAAAACTTTGATTTCCTTTTTTTTTTTGTTATATTTGAAAATATGTAAAACAAATGTAGATCTACTTTTGGAGCACTACACATGTGAACGTAGATCTGCTTGGACCATTTACGGGTTAAAGGACATGTTTCTCCATTTGTGGTTTTTTTTCAGTCCAAACAGAACTCAAAATTTAGATATGTAATGGAGAGAAGTCTGGAAAAATTATGATCCTGGCTTCCTCCAGACTTTTCTGTACCATGCATTATGTACTGGTATCTCAAGGTATATCTGTATTAAAATTGGAAAAGTCACCAGTGGCAAAGCATCTTGTTCTACAGGCTTACAGTATTTGCTAGGGCATGAAGGAAGCCTTGCTGTATTTAAACCTGAAACACTTAGAAAAGTTGACAAAGTTACAAAAGCTAGTTTTGTCACCATAGCTTTCAAGATTATTCAAATTCAAAAATTTATTTCTGCATGATACATTCTTTATACAGAAATGGGTGACACATGATATGCATGTAGAGAGCCCATTGTTATTCAGAGCATTTCGGGCAAACTTAAGCCTAACTTAAGACTACTTGAACAATAGACATTATTTTATTTATTTATTAACACACTGGCTGATTCCCACCAAGGCAGGGTGGCCCAAAAAAGAAAAACTTTCACCATCATTCACTCCATCACTGTCTTGCCAGAAGGGTGCTTTACACTACAGTTTTTAAACTGCAACATTTACACCCCTCCTTCAGAGTGCAGGCACTGTACTTCCCATCTCCAGGACTCAAGTCCGGCTTCCCAGTTTCCCTGAAGCCCTTCATAAATGTTACTTTGCTCACACTCCAACAGCACGTCAAGTATTAAAAACCATTTGTCTCCATTAACTCCTATCAAACACGCTCATGCATGCCTGCTGGAAGTCCAAGCCCCTTGCTCACAAAACCTCCTTTACCCCCTCCCTGCAACCTTTCCTAGGCCGACCCCTACCCCGCCTTCCTTACACTATAGACTGATACACTCTTGAAGTCATTCTGTTTCGCTCCATTCTCTCTACATGTCCGAACCACCTCAACAACCCTTCCTCAGCCCTCTGGACAGCAGTTTTGGTAATCCCGCACCTCCTCCTAACTTCCAAACTACGAATTCTCTACATTATATTCACACCACACATTGCCCTCAGACATGACATCTCCACTGCCTCCAGCCTTCTCCTCGCTGCAGCATTCATCACCCATGCTTCACACCCATATAAGAGCATTGGTAAAACTATACTCTCATACATTCCCCTCTTTGCCTCCAAGGACAAAGTTATTTGTCTCCACAGACTCCTAAGTGCACCGCTCACCCTTTTTCCCTCATCAATTCTGTGATTCACCTCATCTTTCATAGACCCATCCGCTGACACGTCCACTTCCAAATATCTGAATATATTCACCTCCTCCATACTCTCTCCCTCCAATCTGATGTCCAATCTTTCATCACCTAATCTTTTTGTTATCCTCGTAACCTTACTCTTTCCTGTATTCACTTTTAATTTTCTTCTTTTGCATACCCTACCAAATTCATCCACCAACCTCTGCAACTTCTCTTCAGAATCTCCCAGGAGCACAGTGTCATCAGCAAAGAGCAACTGTGACATTATACATATGTATACAGTGGACCCTCGCCTAACGAACGCATCGCATAACGTTAAATCCGCCTAACGAAGCATTGAGTGTAAAAATTTTGGCCTGCTTAACGATAAAAAACTCGCCCAACGTGATTCCTCCCAAACATGTCCATCCAGCCTGAGTGCCTCAGCTGCCTTGCTGTCATTGTTTACAAGCCAGGGTGGCCGGTTGCATGCATACATTTGACACATTTTGTTTTATTCCATTGTTTATAGTGCTTGTAACTGCTAAATAAGCCACCATGGGCCCAAAGAAAGCTTCTAGTGCCAACCCTGTGGTAAAAAGGGTGATAAATACTATCGTACCACAGTCAGCTGCTGCTGCACCACGGTCAGCTGTTGCTGGACCAGTCAGCTGTTGCTGGATCAGTCAGCTGTTGCTGCATCATGGTCAGCTGTTGCTGGACCAGTCAGCTGTTGCTGGATCAGTCAACTGTTGCTGCACCACAGTCAGCTGTTGCTGGACCAGTCAACTATTGCTGGATCAGTCAGCTGTTGCTGGATCAGTCAGCTGTTGCTGCACCACGGTCATCTGTTGCTGGACCAGTCAGCTGTTGCTGGATCAGTCAGCTGTTGCTGGACCAGTCAGCTGTTGCTGGATCAGTCAGCTGCTGCTGCACCATGGTCAGCTGTTGCTGGACCAGTCAGCTGTTGCTGGATCAGTCAGCTGCTGCTGCACCACAGTCAGCTGCTGCTGCACCACCATCAAATTCAAATTCAAAGTTTATTCTCTACAAGGATTACAATGTTGAGTTTACAGAATTTGGTTATTGTATGGTTTACATGTAGTAAACCTATTGGAAAGAAACTGCCTTTATTACACAGCATCACAAGCCAGCACTATCCTAAACAATGCTAAAAGTCTATCAGTACTTAACTACAACATCAGGTCCTTAAGCAAACACTATGATGACCTCCTGGCACTCCTTGAATCACTAAAGACACCCTTCTCCTGCATTATTCTTACTGAGACCTGGCTTAAGCAGGACACAATAGATATCCCCTCTACCAGGATACACAGCAATTCACAACTGCAGACCAAACCAAGTTGGGGTGGTATTGCAATCTATTACTCTAACCAACTATCTTGTATTAGCACAACTTGCTTTAGTGATGAATATGGGGAATACATTTTTGCTAATTTTACTGTAAAAAACCTTAAGACACCTATAACAATCGGTGCCATTTACCGGATACCTCACACAAACATCCTAAATTTCAGTGAGAAATTAAAGTCACTAATAACAAACAGACAAATGGATAAGCACCACCTTCTCTTAGCTGGAGACTTCAACATCAACCTTAGCTTACTAGATGATCAGCCTGTAACTGATTTCATCAACAATATGAACAACACACTTCTCATACCAACAATAACTAAACCAACCAGGCTCACTGAGACAAGTGCAACCATAATAGACCACATATGGACCAATATACTAGCCCCCCTTAAATCAGGGATAATCACAGATAGCACTACAGACCACTACCCTACCTTCCTCCTGACAAACATTAGTAAACCACCACTTGAATACAACAAAGTCTCATTTAGACTCCATGACGAGGCCTCAATAAGGAAGTTCACAGCTGACCTAGAGACTGTTGACTGGCCTACAGAATTCTCCAAGGCCAATGGTATTGATGACTGGACAGACATTTTTCTTAACAAATTACTTAGACTATAAAACAAACATTGTCCTATAAAAACGAAACAGATCACAAACAAACGGCTTGGTTGCCCATGGCTGACCAGCACCATTCTGAAATCCATTGACAAGAAACACCAATATGAAAAGCAATATAGACAGGGCTTAATACACAAAGATATTCTTAAACACTATTCATCAGTTCTCACCAAAGTAATAAAGAAAGCCAAACAACTATACTACTCCAGAAGATTCACAGACACTAGAGGAGATATAAAAAAAAACCTGGAAAACACTCTCTCAGATTCTAGGGACCCACAAACTGAAAAAAAACAAGAATATTGTCCTAACTAAACCTAATGAAACACCACTACATCCCACTGACACAGCTAACAAGATAAACGACTTCTTCTCAACCATAGGATCTAATCTCGCCAATAAAATCCCACATACCAATGCCCATGCCAGGGACTACCTAGATGGGAATTTCCCAAATTCCTTCTATCTTGCACCAACTGAGCCCTCGGAAGTCACCGAGATTATAAAGTCACTTAAAATAACTCGGGGAAAATCTGTCTCAAGTCCCACCATTACTGTACAAGCGAGCGGCCCATATCCTTTCGCATGCTATTTCATTGCTTTTTAACAAGTCACTAGAGACTAGCACCTTCCCGAAACTACTCAAGATGGCAAGGGTTACACCAATACATAAAGGTGGTGACCCTACAGACTTAAACAACTATAGGCCAATATCAAACTTACCATTGCTATCCAAAATCTTTGAGAAACTCGTGCACAGGAGACTATATTCATTTATAACAGCACAAAACATACTCAACCCCTGCCAATTTGGATTCAGGAAAAATAAAAGCACTAACGATGCAATCATAAAAATGCTAGATCTGCTTTACCCCAGCATTGGAAAATAAGGAACATCCACTAGGAATTTTTATTGACCTAAGAAAAGCTTTTGACACAGTAGACCACGACATCCTACTCCACAAACTTGACCATTACGGTATAAGAGGCCATGCGCTTGCTTATTTCAAATCTTACCTTACTAATAGGTATCAGTATGTCACCATTAAAGACACAGCATCAACAACATGGCCACTTGATACTGGAGTTCCGCAGGGAAGTGTCCTTGGTCCCCTGCTCTTCCTCGTATACATCAATGATCTTCCAAACATATCCCAACACCTGAAACCCATTCTCTTTGCTGACGACACGACTTATGTCATCTCTCACCCTAATCTTGCCACCCTCAACACCATTGTTAACTAGGAGCTGATCAAAATATCGACTTGGATGACAGCCAATAAACTTACGCTTAACACTGACAAAACCTACTATATTATGTTTGGTAGCAGAGCATTAGATGTGCAAATTAACATTAAGATCGACAACACTCTAATTACCAGACATAATGAGGGCAAATTCCTAGGCCTATACCTTGACAACAACCT